GGGTTGCGGAGGCTTGACAGAGCCCTAGAGGGCTGCAGTGGAGCTTGGAAACCAGTGGGTGCGAGATAAAAAACACTTTTCAGAAAGAAGCGCCCTGAATCTAGGGGAGTTGAGGCATAAGCTGGATCCATTTTCTTTAAATGCTTGAACTTGAAGCTCCTGAAAAGAGGGGGGAAAAAGTATCAGAGAGGAATGAGGAACACGCTGAATTGAAGATATGGATCTAAAAACCAAAGACCTCCTGAAGTAGATAGCTTTTCTTGCTGGGATCACTGCACCTGAGATTTTTCTGTTTTCTCATACGCGTGTGACCCAGCCTATCGGGGGATTGTCTGGTGAAAAGGCGTAAAATTGTGTGGAAGGAGTTCTCAAAAAGGGATGGAAAGTCGTTAGCTAAAGGAGGGGAGGCCTATTCGAGGGCACAAAGCGGGTAGCAACAACGGGGTCCTCTCTAAAAGAAAAGCGGGGACCGAGGGGAGGCTGTAGTCCTAGCAGACCACCGAGGAGAAGGCAGGTAATTTTTGGAGGAGTGTTTGAGAACTTGGGAAGGAGGTACTGGAAACAAGACCTTGGTCTCAGGGGACTTTTTGAGAGGTGCTGAATTTTAATGCTTTTCTTTCAGGTCCTCTTCTCGTTCATCCACCTATTCTGGTTCAGGTTCCTCGCGCTCTCGTTCCAGATCATCTTCTTACAGCTCTTACTCTAGTCGCTCTTCAAGACACAGCTCTTTCTCAGGCAGCAGGTCCAGGTAACGGCTCCTTGGATTTGAAAGTAATGGTGTACTGTTTTCCAAACACTTGCTAACAGCTACTTTTGCTGCTACTTAAAAGCAAATAGCCAACTCTTGAAATAAAACATTCAAACCACTTTCCTGAGTGAGGGAAATACGATAGACTGCAAGGCAGCCTGCCGGTTTGGTTGTTGAATGAAGCAGATATGTCAGCCACCCCCTCCTCTCCCCAGTACTCTCACCCATGAGTACCGTGCTGTTGTGGCTGGGCTGTTTGCCATGCCTGTGGTAGCTCAGCGGTTGTAGGAGCCTGGCTGAGATTAACGTTTCCATCATTTGCATTTTATGATTGGAAGAAGTTACTGGCATCTCTTTTCTATTGCGCTGGAATTTCTATTTAAAGAGGCAAATCACATTTCTTTATTAAAGCAGTTGTGTCTTGTGATAGTCCTGACACTTCAAAGTAGCAATTCAGTGTCCCATGCTGATTAAACAGAGGCATGTTTATTACTCTGCCACTTCCTTGCCCCTGCAGACAGTTTCCCAAGTCTGGAATATGAATAGTAGGAGAACTGGCTCCCTAGAGAGGCACCTCTTCAGAGCTGAAATCACACAGAAACCCAGAGTGGATCACGCAGTTGATGGGAGTGCACAGTGTCACTTTTGGAGACGTGGTTTCTCCTAGGAAAGGCGCAGGTGGGAGTTGATCTCAACGCAGGCGCACACGTGTTTCTGGGGAGCAGGCTGACCTTCCCCCATCCACCCCATTTCAGGCTTTTGTTCCTTGCAGGACAATGCCAGGCGTAGGTGACGCACTTCGATTAGCATGCCTCTCTCTGAAGGTAGGAGAGTGATGAACACCCAAGCGCCTAACAGTTCTTCAGAAAGCAAGTCGCCGAAGTGTCTGCCTTTCTGAAGTCCTAGGCTGCAACAGGGGTACTTCCCGTCTTGACAGTGGGGTGAATCACTTGAACGCCAGCATCTGGTGTGCTGTGCAAGTGGCCTGCCTCTTTGGTCCGTCCTGATCTTAGGAAACAGCTCTTGCCCTTTGGTCTGTTGGCTGTGATGTACTCTGCTTGATTTTTCTCCTTGTGTTCCAGAAATTGCAGATGCCCAGTTAGATGGGGGTTTTTTGTGTGTCTTTCTCCCAAGATTTTTTTTTTTACTGCTGTTTAAAGGATTGTGGACTGCACTAGGAGTTACATAAAGCGAGTTGAAGCAGATCATGCTGAACTTGCAAGTCAAAATCCTACTTACTTTCTTGTAGACGTACTCTCCCTAAGGAGAGAATACAGGGAGTATGGAGAAAGCCTCAGGTGTTGGTGTGGAATACCTGAGAGAGTGCCTCTCTTGGAACCGGCCCTACTTTTTCCTTTTGTTTTCTGTGTCTACCACTGGTCAGGTCACAGAAGTTGGTTTTGTTGAGCAGAGCCCAAATATAAAACTGGGATAAGCTCAGACCCAAGGGGACTAGTTCTTGGATGCGGTCACTAGCCGAAGGAGGGAGTGGTGGCTAAATGGACTGGAAGCCAGGAAAACCCTTCTGCAGTCCCAGAGGCTGAGCTGAGTGGTGTGTCCTTCCTTTCTAGGTCACGGTCCTTCTCATCTTCGCCCTCTCCTTCTCCAACACCGTCTCCGCACAAGCCGCTTGCGAAGGCTAAAGGGGAGTTATTACCACCTGCTGGTAAAGGGTAAGGCTCCATCTCTGTTTTCATAACACCGTGCAGGAGAGGCTCCAACAGTAGCCTAATTCCTGAGTCAGACCCTTCTGACCTGGTTGACAGTTTAAGGAAGAAATGGAAGATGCAAAATACGACCTGCATAGAAGAGTGCTTAGCTTTGCATATTTAATTAATTATGACACTTTCACTTACTAAATCCAAGTTAAACTGTACAGGTGTCCTTAAGTATTTCATAGAATCATTTAGGTTGGAAAAGACCCTTAAGATTGAGTCCAAGTGTTAACCTAACGCTACCGAGTCCACCACTAAACCACGTCCGTAAGTGCCACGTCAAGGCCCCTGTCGCGTACACGAGTGTTTTAAACGCATGCATGATTTACTATTTAAACATTCTGTGTTTGCAGATATGTTTATACAGGAGCTATAAGAAGGTTTAATTCAGTCCTCTACTGTAGCTTTAGTTAATGCACAGCCTTAGAATAAAGAAATGGTTCAGCCTCATCTACTCTTAATATTGGAGACAAATTGAAACAGTACTATAGCTATGAAACTGTTGGTTAGATTATGCCAGTGCTCCTGCTCTTTTAAATGCTTGAAGTTGCTATTTCACAAACTCCTGTAATACATAGTAAATTATGGATACGTTGGAGGGTGACACAACACCGTAGTGATGTCACCTTTTTTAAGGTGACCTGCAAATAAATTACACCATGGGAATCCCCCTGAATTCTCCGGAATATGGGACAATCCCCTTTGCCACACTTGTGCCTTATTGACCTGCTTTTTTTTTGCCTTTTTTTTTTCCTCTTCTCAACTCAGAGGGTTCAGCCCTTTAAGGACACGCTCTCCGCCTGCAGCGATCTCTTTACACCCTTCTAGTGCACATTGCAGTGCTGGTTTGGTAACACACGACACCAGCCAGCAGCCTGCACTAGCGCTAGCATGGGGATTGTTTTTGCTGCATAACAACACATGCAGTTAATCCTGTGTTCTGCAAGGGGTGAATACAGATATTCTTAAGCACAGGAGTTGGAATTAACAGTCTCTATTTTTGTACGCAGACAGCCACCTCCTCCCCAGTTAATAGTAAGCGTGACATCAGTGCTGGGGATGTTGAGCAGTAGCCAGCTATTAGAGCAGAGGTTGGAGTGCTCTGAGGCCAGAAGTGAGCAGCGCTGAAGAGCCGAAGCGATCCCCGTCTCGCCTAGTGGGTGCTAGATAAAGTCACAAAAACGTGGCGTAGCGGTGCTCTGCGATGGCGTTAACCCGTCAAGTGTTCGGCAGGGTAGCGCGAGCCAAGGGACGGGTCCAAGGGACATTTGCACACACGGGCTCTCTTGCACCCTGCTAATCCGTGTGATGGAGTGAAAAAGAGCATTTTTGCATAAACTGTGTGCATTTGATTCGGAAGCCTGACTGGCAGATTTTAAGTAGGTGGATGTGTTTTGGATAAAAACGCACAGAATCAAATGGGTAAGAAACAGCGATTCCACACAGTCTACTTCGTTGGTTAATTTACAAGTCGAATGTCTCCAAAATTGGTTGTTGTATAGTAACTTGTCTCTGAAAAGGTGACTTGATTTAGAACGTGGGAAACAGATCCCTTTAGGGGGAGTCCGTGTTGTTTGAGCGTGTTTTGGTGAAATAGCCATGTGTCTGTAGCTACAGTAATCGTATCTATGTAATATTTAGTCAACGACAAACACAGGTGCATTTCATCGCTTGTGAGAATGTCTGCGTTCCCTATCTACCGAGTTTGATCGAGCACATGAAAATTTTAATTTTTGTAGTGAAAAATCTGTGAAGAAACTAGGTGCCCTTCCAGTCCCTCAGCCACTCGCTAAAATTACAACAGCTGCACCGGAGCCAGCCAAACCAGGGGATAATCGAGAAGCAAGAAGGAAGGAACGTCAGACAAGGACTCCACCCAGGAGGTAAGAAAGCTGTGGGGTGGAGTGAGGCTTGGTCTCCTGGAAGATAGAGCAAATCCTGGGTTTCTCTTGGGAGTACCAACTACAAGGGCTCTCCAGTATTAAAGGAGAAATCTGTTTCCTGGGGCGGGAAGGAGTTGGGGGGGGGAATGCTAGTGACTTGCCACAGCAAGTGGCTCCTGCCTCTGAAGGCTGGTTGGGGGATGAAGTAGGTGGAACACATGAAATGTGTCAAAAGGCAGGGTCTGCGGTGCAAAAAAAGGCATGTTTGAGAGCTGCTGGTTGCGGAGGCCGTGCAGCAAGGAGGCAGAGGTGCGTTTTGTCCAGAGAGCGGATCTGACGTGTTGGAGGGTCGAGGTTTGTGGTGATGGGTTTGGACCCTGTTTGTTCTAAACATGTGCCAGTATGGAGGGAGTATTTCTGTGTGGTCCCAGGAGCTGGTTTGTCAGCATCCAGCAGTACCACTGGAGGAGAGGAGGAAAAACTCCGCTACTTTCGCTGTCCCCAGTACACAACTTGCTGGCTCCCCTGCTCTACTTTCTCTTCCTGGCATCATCCTGTGTGACTAGTTTGAACGTTTCGAATGACTTGTTCTGTCTATCCTAACTGTTTTTGTTTCCTCCCCTTCGCATTTGAAATGAGAGGCTTCTGACGGTTTTCAAACAAGGAGCATTTGGCTGTATTTAAATATGTTTATCAGGCTTAATCCATTGTACCGTATTTAAAAACGTTACAGGATAAATGCAGGTAGCCTTGCCTGTTCCTGGGGGGACACGGAGGCAGCTAAGCACAGCTGAAACTCATCCTGTGTCCTTCTTAGGTTAGAAGTTTTGAAATAGCAGTACGGTAACTATGTGTCTGGCCTGTGGAAGCAGTAGTTTGGTGCCTAAGAAATGTATTCACTAGAAGTGTCTGTTTTATGAGCATGCAAGGAGGCTGAGAATGTTTTATGCCTGCGGTAAGGCATATATGGTTTTCTTGGATCATTGAATGATGCTTTTTGTCAGTGTGTTTTGAAGACGGCTGGCTGTTTTCCGTTCGGGTTTTCAGAAGCATCCTGAGTCAAGTCTTAGTTTTGCATGGGATTACATCTCCTGTTTCTTCCCAGTAGCTAAAGAAAAGGCCTGGGCTGAGCAGTTATGCCTCCATAGGTGAAAACTGATCGTGACAGTTTCTTTTCCCCAGAAACTCCATCAGTTCTAATTTCCATTTCACTTACTTTAACTAGTTAATAACAATCTTGGATGTCTTTAGCCACCTTCCCTTATTCTTTATTCCAATCTTGGGGTTTGGGGGGTTTTTTTATGCTTATACCCACACAAACCCCACTGCCCTACACTCTCCCTGCCATGCAAATGACAAAACAGGTCTATTTATTTTAGTACTGGTGTGTTAGTCACAAAAAATGTGTATGGTTATTTGTATAGCCTGAAATAAAAGGTAGTCCCACTGTGTTACGCAGTTAGCAATTTTTCTTTGTGGGAAGCATTTGCTCCTGGTATCACTACAGGATTAAGGTGCTTTAGCTCATTCTTTGCCTGACTTTCATTAGCGTTATTCAGTCTTGCATAAAACATCTACTGTGCAGAAAACAGATGCTTCCTCAGGACTGGCAACGCAAGGTTGAGAAGAGCATCTGAAACAATTACATTTGCAAAGCACCAATCGTGCATACAGTACAGGACAACAGCATCAAGCTTGAACTGTCCCTAAACAGTTTCTTCTAACCCCGTTTCACGGCGGAGCGCAGCGAGGTGAGGATGTCGTTTGCTGTCTTGCAGGCGGACTATCAGCGGCAGCATCAGCGGCAGCGCCAGCAGCTACAGCGGTTCCAGTTCCCGATCTAGGTCCTTGTCTCGGTCTCTCTCCAGATCTCACTAGAGATCATCGTCTGCCTCAGTCTCCCACTCCCCGTCTGGGTCCAGGAAATCCAGGTACAGCCTCGACCCTTCATAACCTTTGTTGAAGTAGGAGGAGGTTATAACTATTCTTAACTGTTGTGGTTTCTTGCAGCTAAAACTCTCTCTAGCTTCGAGTATGAGAAGCTATAGGTAACTAGGATGTGAAACAAGATTGTTTCTTCGTGTGGTGTTGCGAATCCTGAGTCCTGAATCGTGACAGTAGTACAATGCTGGTAGTGTCCTTGTGGCTTATTCAAGGAAACAGTCTGTTATGTGTGCCAAACTGCCCGTTTTTACCTAAATTATGACCAAAGCATCTCCTTATGGCCAGGGTGATCCCACATCCTAATTTATTTACAAGGTAACAGTTTTAGGCTACGGAGCTTTGCTCTCGTAAACCTCTACTACCTCTGGTTACTGAATGTCCTTAGGGAAGATGCTTGGCCTGTCAGGAGAGGGTAGGTCCTTTTACTTCAGTAGGTTTTTTTACTTTGCTGGTGAAGTTGCACGGCCAGTTCCCTTTGTCTTTATCCCCAAGTGACTAGTTATATGGCTGTTAGTCTGCGGGATTTGTAAACAGCTAACTCCCTCCAGTAAAGAGTCATGAAATAAACCTCTTTCAAGTCCTTTGTTCTGTTTTTTTGCATCTGTTTGGACACAGGGATCCCTGAAACCTCACAAGCAGCCCTGAAACA